GTTCATTGCCTCCATTCCTGTCGATTTTTATCAATTGAAAATAAAATTTTGAAATAATTAATGTGAGAAGTTATTTTTACATTTTGCTTATTCATAATCTATTGTTTCATATAAGCGTACTTGTTGTACGTTTAAAACCTTTTTAGATATTTGATAAGTAGTTGTAATTTTATTATTATGTAATTGCAAAAATTCGATATAAACCTATACTTTTCAAAAACCCCAGACAATCCATACTTAAAATCTGAATTAGGCACAAATATCTTGCTTAAAAGATATTAAAAACCCGGGACCCAAGGAGGAAATTAGGGACTGTATCTGCCATACAGCGACTTTGGGTTACTTTAGTTCTTTTTATTAATGAATTAATACAAACCATATTATTAGCTAATTGTTAATTTATAAAATTAAAATCAATACAATCCTGAGAAAAAATCACAATGAACTATAGTAGATTAGAAAAAAATATAATATATGATAATGAAAATTATAAAAAAAACATAATAATATAAAAAAACAAATATATATTAGGACATGTGAAAATCTAAGATGATGAGAATAGGCAAACTTACTTACTTAACTAAATAAAAAATAATAAATCATTTAACATAATATTTTATACATAATAATATTTTATTACTCAATTATGGAAGATGAAAGTTTTATTTGTTGTACCAAAACATATCTTCAGTTGCTTTACCAATTATTTTAACATCAAAATTGCTACTATCAGTGCAATTTACCAAAAAAATGTGTTTTCATAATATAATCTTTAATTTTTATGGTATTTGCTTTTTTGTGAATTATGTATAAAGCGCTTTTTTTGTTCAAGAATCAGTCTTAGCATTTTATTTTGAAAAGTTTCTAGTTTTTTCAAATTTTGGTGGATAGTTGCGCACCAAACAGGACATCCATTAGAAGTGAAAAACGTATTATAGCAATATAAATTGCTAGGTGGTAATCACGAACATTGAAAAAGCTATGTCTTGGATGTGCGATAAAGTGTTCCACACTTCTACTTCTAGAATCCAGTCTCCAAAAAGAATAGATGGGAAATAACAATTTTATTATAAGATCAACTCACTGTTGTCATATTAATGTAGATATTCTGTATTGTGTACTTTTACCTAACATTTCTATTTTGTCCGAGAATTGCCCCTCAATAGTTACAATCAATCGTTATTTGATTCAGTCCAACTACTAATAATAATTATATTTGATTTTTTTAAAGAACTGTGTTAGTGATCACTGTAATTATTAGACAAAAAGTAACTAGTGGTGCAAACCAAACTGCTGGAACTTACCGTACAGAGATCAAATATTCTAAGAATATTGTTTTCCAATTTATTATTATAAGCGGTGAAACTTTCATTATTATTATTTAATAGACAAAATATTAGATCTTATAAATTGGATGGTGATTTGTATATAATTTTACATTCAAAGTAAATCAATAAAATTTAGTATAGAGAAGAAAATATGAAGGTTCATATTTCATATTTCTAAGAATTATATAAACTAAATTGCAAAGTTTAAATTATTTATTTAAAGTATGTAAGTAAGCTTCAGAATTAAAATTAAATACCGAATTATTTTCGATATTAAAAAAACAGTTTTTGAAAATTAAAAAACAATGAAATAAAATTTTTGTTTGGCTTTTCTCAAAAACAATCGTTTCATCAATACATTCAAAAAGCTTTTTGAATAATTTAAATTGGATGCTTTGTTCCCTAAAAACTGTCATTTTTGGTCATATCTGTTCTTTCAAAAAACTAATTACCACACTCCCCAGTATTACAAATTAAGTCTTTTTTTAATCCTTCAAGTCAGATGGTCTGTTCTGTCAAAAACTTATTATTATTTATATTTTTCTCATTCATTGCTCCGTATCTCCGAAACGGCTGGACCTGTATTCGCCAAAACTAATCAGCACGTTCCCCATCAGTAGAATCCGAATGTTTTAAATAGTTTAATACGAGTGCCCGAAATCGTGGACGAAAAATTGTATCCACACAAAACATACTTATATCAATTTTTTTATGAGGTATGCCAAAATGAAAAAACGAAACGAAAACATATGCAAAAATTTTCTTTTTGGATGATTGCTATAACTTAACCTACGAGAAGTTAAAAAGTAGTTATTGCAATAGACTTGTATGTGTAGGTTAGGTGCGTAGTGGCAACTATATAAAGTTTGTGTTCTACATGAAGGAATGCAAAACAAAATTTTAAAACTCCTATTCCAAAATAAATACTGAAAAACTCGCAAGCTATTTTAATAAGTTGTAAGCTATTTTATCTGAAGTTTTGACAAAATAATTTAATTACGTGTTGACGGTTTAGTATCATAAGCAATTTAAAATTAATCAAAAATATAATGATCTGTTATCAAAAAAAATTCTACGGGAACAATTTTCTGTGAACAAGTTCGTTCGCGTGTGTGGTACTAATCGATTTGATCAGTCCCTTTCATACATACTCAACGGGCGACACTTGGTGACCCGGCGTGGCGTGTGAAGGAAAAACCAGAATGCAAACGTGACATAACATTGTTCGACATTAATTTAAAATATCGATTTAGATTGTGCGAAAATAAAACAAAATGGTAAACCGCCACCACATACATCGACGGTCGATATTTAGAAAAAAATCAAATTAGTGAGGGCTTGAAAAAAGAATTGACTAACGAATTTTATTCTGTCATTTTTACGAGGTGACGAATTTTATTACGTTTGTTTGCACTAAATTGATTATTTTTGTCTTTGTTTTTTAAATCAGTGCGTACAAAACCACATGTGTGCTCCAAAATTGAAAATTGTTTTCCATTTTTGCAAGACAAGTATTTGAAAATTAATTTATTTTAATAAAAGTAATTATTTATGGTTGAGATACAGCGGGGCTTAAAGTCCCGCGGGTGAAAAGGTCTACCAAAAACAAGTAAAGTTAAGAATTTTTTAACAATAATATTTGAAAGCCCAGGAAAAAAGCGTTGTTAGTTTTTTGGTTGTGAGAACTGTGTAACGAGACTTTAATATATTTTTTTAGCATAAGTTATATAATTGCTTCATAAGATGTATCGTTTATATCAATTTAGATCCAATAGTTTTGTTTATATAATCTATAAAAAAAGATTACACATGGGTTGGGTAAAAATTACCAACTTCACCTTGGCTAAGGTTTGAACAATAAAAAATAGTGAATAAAAAAGTAAATTAAGTGATTAATAGTTATTCCAATTCTGCCGATGATTATTTTTGACGAAATGCCAGATCAATATTATATACAGTGTTATCTCTCTAAAATACTTCATGAAATTTATATTTTGCATTGGTTGAATAATGTAGCTATTATTTCGTAAAGTTTCTCTAAAATTAGAAAAAAAAACATTGGACCCATTTGCCTCCTGGCTGTCTCATTTTACCCCGCCTATAAAATAAAAAGGGGCTATAACAATTTTTTGATAAACAGCAAATTCTACAATGACGAATTAGCAAGGGAGTTTTACTAAACATAGTCAGATGATTGTTTGTTTGATGTGTGATATTGGTTTGATTTTCACAATATTATTCAAATAGGTCGAAGTCAAATTGGACCTATCCTATTTGTATCTTATTTAACATTTGTATGGTTTGAACAGTGTTTTATTATGATACTCACAATCCTAAAGTATAATTTAATTATTAATTATTGTAAAAACTTCAATAATCACTTATTAAATATTTCAATTACTATCCCGTTACACATTTTTATATAAAAAGTCGGCGCTAATATAGTCACATGTATAATTTTGTAAATACTTAATTTTATTATAATATTAATATTGAATTTTTAACTTCCCATTATTCTCGTGACTATTATCCCACACAATGTAACAAAAATAAAAATAATTTTGTATTTTACAGTTTTGTATAAATAAATATATTGTAAAACTTGCGATTACCGTGCCGGGTCATGCCCGTAATGCGTAATATTTGCTTCTGGACCGATTATCGTACGCGGACTATACCCGTAATATTTACGTTTGGTTATCGTATTTGGGCTTTGTTCGTCATTGTAAGTTAAGGGGTTAATTTACGATAAACTTAATTATAATATAAGCAACTAGTAAATAATTTATTCAGATTACAAATCCATTGTTCTTATGGTCTGCTCTTATTCTGAACTGGTACTCCTCCATAACTCGATATTCGAACGTTGTTGACATGTTGGAGTTGAAAATATATTACCTTTTCCGATAGAATTCTTTCTAATATTCGAAAACAAAAAAGAACGTGTGATAAGAAGGCGAGCTTCTTGTGGATTTTTCTCATAACTTATTCTGTGTTGCAAACATATATCTTATTCGCGTCACTTGTTATGTATTACGCGTTACATAAAACATTCGTCGCACACGGATGCACGCGATATGGCACACAAGCAACAAGTTACGAACTTAATGTTAAGGATGTGTTATTCTAACAGATGGTTTACTCTCCAAAGGATTTCCTGAAGAAATATTGTGGAAATAAAGACAACAAATTGTTTATCCTGAACTAGTTTATACCGGTTGCACTCGTATCAATCTCAAATGCAGAAGTTTATTACAAAATATGACGTTAGTGCAGCGATAAGGTCTCTTTGCGAATACAGATTATGTTGCTTTTTTACTTCAAAAGTCTTATGCAAATATGAAGACTTAGCATAAGAACAAATGCGGTTTAGCTTCTATACTTTGTATAGTGAATATGTAAATGAGTTACCATGCAAAGCAAATTGGAATACAATTCAATATATTATACAATAAATACTTATTACCGAGTTTTTTCATTGTTTATAAAATTTACACCTGTCCAATTAAGTAAATTTTATAACTAATTTTACAAAATAAGTAGCTGTCTGTAAATGATTTGTTGAATTCTTGGAAGAGTGCACAGTTCCATTCTTCCCAAAATTAACAATAATAGATTTAAGTTGGCATGATTTTATGCCCTAGTTAAATCTATATATGTCTTTCTTTTTAGTCTTCTGGTGGTTCTCCAGGCGATTTTTGTATTCATTGGCGTATCTTGTGATACAGTATGCGGGCCCGTGTCCTGAAGGAGCACCCAGGTCAGTACATATTTTGGGGCGTTCAGAATGATTCTTAGAATATCATTTTGGAATTTTTGAATGACGTTTATAGTGCTCTTACATGCAATCCACCAAAGTGTTATTCCGCAAGTCCATATATGTGTCAGAATAACTTTAAAAATCAATAGTTTATTGTATGTCGATAGTTCAGAATTTCTTCCAATAAGCAATAAAGACTCCTGAATCTTTCTTTCAATTGTCTTCTTTTTACTGAATGTGTGTTTTCCAATTAGGGTAATTTCCAAGGTTACACCCAGGTATTGCTTGTGGTATATATATACCATAAGCAATACCAACATACGTTCTCTGTTAATATAATGCATAATTTGTTTTTAAATCATATTTGCGGGCTTCCAGTAAGAACATCACTATTAAATTAAATGTTATGATATACTTTTTTCATGAATGATTATTTATTTTATATTTTTAGATCCATATGTTTTATTCTTTTGAATCTTGCATAAAATTCTGTTTTATACTTTTCATAACTAATTTGTAAAATATGCACTAGTGCCAAGTAATCAAAAGTTAGTTTCCATAATGTTTGCTAACTTGTGTGATATTGAAAATAAAAGTAAGAATTTATTAATGTGAGATGCTGTTTTAACTTGCCTTTGGAATTTTATATTTGGGTTGGGTATACAGGGTTTTACTGTATATATCATTTTCATATATTCGATGGATAGACCAAATTTTATTAGCAAGTAATTGCAAACAAAAAGTTGCGGAATAATCCGCAACAAAACATCCAAGTCCGGGGCAAATATTGCTTTTAATAAAACCCGGGACACAGGGTGAAATCGGGGACTGTCCAGACTAAACCGAGACGTATGGTCACTTTATACATGAGCCATGTCAAACATTATTAATTTTTCTTTGATATATTAAGTTACCTTGATTCATTTTTAACCCAATTACCCATTAAAGTTACCATAGTCCATATTTTTTCTGATATTATCGTGGCGATTAAGGTGTTGAATTGAAATACTAAATTCTAATACATTTATACATATTCAATTACGAACAATTTAACCAAGAGCTTTGAACTTTAATATTATTAAGGTTTATAAATAATCAAGAAATTATATTATAAACAGAATTTTTTGTAAACTGAATTTCAAAGAGATTTTCATGCAACTTTCATCTATGATCCGCATCAATCTGCAAGCATTCTTTCTCTTTTATACATAAAATTAAGTTCTATAATCACACTTTTCAAAGGGTTTATTCAATATGATACATACAGTTTTTGACTGAATATTTATTATTATTTTCGAGTAAAAGAGAATATTGTTAATAACAAAATGTCGTGTCTATAAATTTACTATAAAAATTCATTTTTACCCTTAGACTACCATGTTAAATTAAACTTTCAAAATACATTTATAAATGATAAAAAGATTATATAATTATTTTTAATCGTTCACTTTTCACTTTTATCACGTAAAAATCTAATCATCATGTATTACATTTTAGTTTTACTTCTTAATGCTTGATACATATTTTATTTTATTTTTATTAGGGGCTAAATATGTGATAAAAAATCAAACTACTTTTGATTTGGTGTAATTAACTTGGTCAGTACAATTTAATGACCCTATATTACTCTATATAAAGAAGTCTATATTATCATAATAAAAATCACTACTGATTGATATCAAGCTGGGTTTGATCACGTTCTTATCATGACAAGTTTAGATATACATTATTTTGATTTTGCAAAAACATTTTGTACATGAATTGCAAGCAAATCTATTGTTCAGGTTTTATTTTAATCTTCATAAACTTTGCTTTTTATATAAATTTTCATATATAATAAACAGCAAATAAAAACTTCACATTTCCGCTTGGAGTATTTTGTTTTGTTAATTATCTTCACATTTCATTCTAAATGTATATTATCTTATACAGAAGAAAGCGCTTATGGTTTATATCTTATCAATTTGACTTTTTACACTCAAATCTGCAATTTACCCTCATCATTTTGGAAGCTCATTAACGATCTCAAACATTCAGTGAAAATCTCTTTTATCTTGCTTTCATCCGATTTACTTTTTGCCGGAGTTCCTGGGTGTGCATCTTTCGGATGGTAGTCCGATGGGTAGGTGGTAGATATCTACCTTCTGAAAGAGCGGTCGCAATAAATTCAATCAATCCTTCGGCCCCGTCACGCCAATTCGTTATTTCAATTAAATAATTGTACTCGCGCAGCGTCTACTAATCCGTAGAAATCCCCGCTCGCCGCGACCGAATATCTGGCAGCGCGATAGAAATGAAATGAATACTCGGATCGGACCGCCCAATGAATGTATGCATGCCAGTGGCGCATAACTACCACTTCGCTATAGGGATTAACATATTTATGTGGACAAATTAAAACAGTCCAATGTTGAAAGTATACTACCAGTGGCGCTGAGCCTAAGTACAAATCACTCTATTATAAACAGACGTTGCTTCAATAAAACTAGTGGTGTATGGTTTCGTGTTTTAAAAGAAAATTGTTTTAATTTTTATTTTTATGTCACCGCCTTTCTAACTCACACAGTAAAAGCAACATTTCAGGTCTTAACAGTACTTGTTTACATTGTTGAACAGCAGTCAAAAATGTTATTTAGCTATTTTGGCTAAAGTATCAATTTTAAGCCAATCGTCACTTGAATTTAAAAAGTGAGCATTGAGGATCACTACCTTAATGATAAATACTGAATTTAAATCACTCTTCAATTACGAACAAACATTGCATCAATAAAATAATAAATACGTCTATGCTTACTATGCTCGTCATAACATAATTCGTTAAACTAAATACTTATGTTGCACTTCTAAATTACTATTATTATTATTATTATTTCTTTGTTTTTTTTTTTAATTTTATATGATTATTATTGTTAAAATACTTTTAATACTTTACATTAGTTAATTTAAAACTTATAATTTAAAAAAAATACTAAAAAATTGAGATACAAAATATTGACTTTTTTTTTATAATTATTATCTTCATATGACTGTTATTGTTAAAATACTTAATAATTAGTTAACTAAAAACTTATAATTTAAAACACCTAAAATTGTGAAACAAAATTTAAATTTTTTTATATGACTGTTATTGTTAAAATGCTTAATAATTAGTTAACCAAAAACTTATATTTTAAAAACTCTTAAAAAATTGTGAAAAAAATACTTTCATCAAAATACCTAAAAATTTGTAAAAAAAAAACTTATATTGTAAAAATATTTAACAATAATAATGAAAATGATAGTGATATAATAATAATATGACACTTAAATTTGTTAAAATATCATAAAATGACCTAAAATTTGTTAAACAAAATAATTATATTGTAAAAGTATTGTAAAGCTTATTGAAATACTTATTAAATTTTTAAAAAAAATACTTGCAACAAACAAACTAGTTATATTTATAAATAATTAAAATGAACTAAATATAAATAAGTTTATAGTAAATAAATTAAATAATAAATAAGTAACAAAATAGCTAATAATGAATTATATTATATTAAACCTATAAAACATTGACTTAAGCCTTATTATAATATTATTATACTGACGGCTTGTAAAATTAATAAATAAATAAATAAATAAAAAAATAAATTAAAGTGTTAAAATACTAAACTAGTGGTGTATGGTATCGTGCCTTGTGGGAAATTGTTGAAACTTCACGTATCATAATTAAATATTCGAGGAAAAACAACAGTGATCAATAAATATTGTTCAATTATTAATAACAATTGTTTTAAGCATGTTCAAATAGATAATATGATAAATCACTTTATATTTTAGGAAAAAGTCCCGTAACGCCGGACGTCACCTAGCGCCAGACACTCTATTTGACACGTATTATTTAAGCGAGTATAATTCTTTTCATTTCAAAATACAAATGAAAGGGGCACGAAGGACACACAGGTACAATATCACGCGCCAAGCCTCGCCTGTGACGCTCACGAGCACGGCGGGAGCAACCGTTTGCCGTTTAAGGCGCAAAATCACGGCGTCAATCAATAGCAATGGAAGTAATTCTAGTCTATTTATGCATTTCAAAATAAAAAGTAGTACTTGATTGTTATCCGTAAAATGGTAGAATATTATTAGATATTCTGAACAATTTTAGTAGGTACCACCAAATGAACGAACATGTCTGTCCCTTAGCACCGGACACTAAGTCGTCCCTTAGCGCCGGACAGTAAACATATTGATATTTTTTTGAGAATGTAATTTATTCTAGTTATTTGATTTTATTCTGTATGAGTGCTAACGGTCACTACATACCCCCATTTTTCGTATTTCCTAGTCAAAGATTGAAAATCTTATGATGAATGCTCCAGCTGAGAGCATCGGCGTCGCTCAGCCAAAAGGGTGGATAAATAGTGATTTTTTATTTGCAATAAATAAGAATATTCGTCAAACACATATGCAGACAGTCCAGAGTGCAGAGATGGCTACATATGTGTTCAATGCAGGTTATTTTGAAATGTGCGGTACTGGGTGTCAGTTTCTAAAATCATATTTTTTTGTTACCAAAGTTTGATTGATAGTATTAATTTTTTTTAGCAAAGATTGCGTTTTTGTTAATTTAGTCAGATTTCTAACTTTGTTATCTAACATAAGTCATAATTTAATAAATATTTTGTAAAATACTTTTTGATTTATTCATAAATAACCTTACAATTAGTTGTCCGGCACTCCGGGGACTTCGCCCTATCGTTCGTAAAATATATAGTGTAGTGACTATCTTATGGCTCAAAACACTTGAGAAAGTTTACATTAGCTAGAGGTGCCGAATAAATCCACCTGAGAAAATATTTATGCAAAAAAAGCTAAATTTTTATCATTTTATGGTTGGTCATATAAGTAGGATCTGTACAAAGTATTATTAATATTTCATATCCAAATAGAGTGATGGGTAGATAGGTATACAGGCATACAGTTAGACAGATAAGCAGGTAGCAAAGTAGAAAAAAGAAAAGTAGCCAAGTTAGCAG